CTAAAACAAAAACTCCAAAATAAAATAAAATAATTTTAGTACATGTTATTATGTGTCAGAAGAGGGCTTTGAAAATAATAATGCAAAAAAAAAAAAAAAAAAAATTGACCAAAAGGGCACTTGGGAGCAAGGAGTAAAAGGGGCAGGTGCTCAAGCACCCCCAGCCCCCCTCTCTGCACGTGCCTGGACTTCAGTTTCTTAGCTGAAACGGACAGCAGCCAGCAAGATTGTTGTGTTGCAGAAAGATTGAGATAGAGGGTACAAAATTATACCCATAAAATACCTGGATATATATATATACAAAAGAAACTCCCATCTCAGAGTCTTTCCTAAAAATTGGATATACAGAAGTCCAATAGTCTTTGGGAGAGTGTGCCCACAACATTAATATTCATCCATTATCTTCTGCTTATCTGGGGTCTGGGCAGACAAGACCCAGACTTCCCTCTTCCCAGCTGCTTGTTCCAGTTCTTCCAGGGGAATCCCAAGGTGTTCCCAGGTCAGCAGAGAGACAAAGTCCTTCCAGCGTGTTCTGGGTCTTCCTCTGGGTCTCCTAATGGTGGGACGTGCCTGGAACACCTCACCAGGGAGGCGTCCAGGAAGCATCCTAACCAGATGCCTGAGCCACCTCAGCTGGCTCCTCTCGACATGGAGAAGCAGTGGCTCTACTCTGAGTGGCTCCCAGAAGACTGAGCTTCTCACCCCATCTCTACGGGAGAGTCCAGAGATCCTCTGGAGGAAACTCATTTTGCTCACTTGTAAGTGCAAACCTTCTTTTTCTTTCTGTCACTATCAAAGATGAAGGTAGGAACGTAGATTAACCATTAAATCTAGAGCTTCACCTTTTGGCCCAGCTCTCTCTTCACCACTACAGACCGGTACAGAACCCACTTCACTGCAGACGCAGAACCAACACGCCATAAAAAGTCCTGCATATAGAGCAATGCATATTGCTCTATAAGCTTCCCTCACATAAGCCCTACTTTAACATACTGGCAACAGCAGACCAATTTGATTAATTTTATGACTTGAAAGGTTTATTGATAGAATTAGCAATATAGACATTGAATTTAAAGCCAAATATTTAGCTACAAGCTAATTATTTAGCTAGCAAACTGCATCTTTATTTTAAAACTAACTTGAAGCTAAATATTTAGCTCTAAACTACACATTATCTCAGAGCTAATATGCAAATTCACGTGTCAATAACCAGAAATGGACGACCAAAATGAAAGCTTGGTCTTGCAGGCCTCTGTGTAAATTCCTGACGGTGAGCCGATGCAGTCACTGTTGGCATAGAGCCATTAGTAAATGTTGCTATTGCCATTGAAACGGCTCATCCTATGTTTTAAGCTGAAATGTTGTGTGCATGAACAAACCAAATTATTGCTGTTCATTTCTGACTGCACTGCGACAGACTGGCGACCTGTCCAGGATGTACCCCGCCTCTCGCCCGGAACGTTAGCTCGAGATAGGCACCAGCACCCCTCCCGACCCCACTGAGGGACAAGGGTGTTCAGAAAATGGATGAATGGATGGATTTCTGACTGCAAATTTTCCAAACGGGACCCCACAGTATGGAACCTAAGAAACACTCGGGTTTTATTATGTTTTGATAGAAAGAGCTGTTCAACTGGGATAATACATTCTTTTTACTGTTAGCACTATTATCCAGACTAAATCCTCACATATCCCTTTAAACAGCTGTGTTAAAAATAAAATATCAATAAGTTCCGCAATAAAGAAAAACAAAGCAGAAAAGTTGTACACTGTAAAAACAAAGGAATGATGTTCAATGATTTGTCTGAACCAAGCAGGGTCCTCTCAGTAGAACCAGTAATCTGCTAAGTTGCAGAATCTGGTGGAACATAAACCATCTCAGATGCAGCATCATGCCTTCAGCTCTCTATTTCCCCAACCATCAAATTATTATTTAAAAGGAAAACGTCTTCCAAAACCCTCGGTTTGGAAGCGGGTCTGTGGTGTGGGTTTCGGGGAACCGGACGAGAGGCATGTCTTTCACTTAAAGATGGGGGCAGGGGGACCACTTCTTGGTTTCTTTCCGATATGAATTGTTTAATTCGTGCCTGGAAGGGCCCCATTCAAAGCAGCTGTCTGCCATTAGGACTGCTATTCTCATTTACAAAGTGGGATTGTTAGATTACGGCTGAGAGAGAATCCTAAAACCTAACCGACCCCAAGAATCAGCTCCCCCCAACCTCCTGCTCCTCTCAATCATCCGGTATATGGAGATGAGATTTTATTTTTCCTCTTCTGTCATTTCAGAAAAATGTTCCATGTGGAAGTTAGTTGCTCTCTCTCTATGGCAGACGGAGCAGCAGACAGTGTGACAGATCAGGGATTTTTTTAAAGTTCGAGGGGGAATAGAAAACAATTCCCCTCTCTGCTTCAACAATAATGACATACGTTGTCGTATTAGTCCTACAAATCCATCAGCTGGGAGTTATTTCATCAGGCAATTGATGAAATAACTCCTTTTATTGTCAATTCTTGCTTCCTTTCTCACCGATTTCTCGCATTTCACTGGAGCTTATGTACGATGTTTAACAAAAAACTCCTTTGTTGTTTTGCCGCAGACACGTGTGTTGGAGCGTGAAGCAAGTAGTGACAAATATCCCCTGTTTGCTCGGTTGCATTGCTTAGCATTCATCCATGCAGCCTGATAGGATCAACTTTATCCTGTTTGGCAAGTTTTCCCCCCATTTGGAATGTACTCATTAGGCCTTCGGTCTCTAAAGTCGCATTAATGTAAACGCAGCTTCAAAACGACCAGATCAACAGCAATGATCTGAAAGATGACCTTCAATCGACACAAAGGACTTTGAGATCTTCAATCACAAAGACCTCTGTGAACAATTAGACAAATATGGAAATTAAGAAGTAGAGCACACTCGGATCCTGTCTTAATTATAGTTTCAAGAGTGTGTAACTAATGAATGTGAAGTCAGATCGCTGGACTTCACATTCACATTCAGTATAGTATCTTCACAAGGTACTATACTGGGGTCTAAGTTGTTTATTTTGTACATCATTAGCATGAGTAATTTATTAAAGTTGTTTTTACTTATTTAGTTTGTTTATAATTGATTTTAAAAATCTCTAATTTTGGAAAGCTAAATTAATTGCCAGTGTTATCTTAAGTCAACAGCGAACCGCGAGGACTCTACTGCACTCTGTAGGTTAAATATCACAGTTCTTGTCTAAAATGAAAATTAGTTGGAATTAAAATGTGATGAAGAAACAAACTGCCAGGAGAAACTTGGACTAGACCATTAGGATGGCATAAGTGAGAATGACAGTAGACAGGTAGCTTTAGCACAGTAAGACACATAGAAAGTGGTTTCTAGCCTCTTCCGCCTTGAAGGGACTGAATTAATCCATTACATGGAACAAAATGTGTGGAAATTAGAAAAATGTTACCATAGTAATAAACTGTAGCTTAAAGATTACAGTAACAGCCTGAGTTTAGTGTATCCATAATCAACTTTTCATAAAGATAATTTAAAAAAATGATGGTGAAACACTCTTTGAGAAATTTATTTCAGTGTGTTGTTCCACAATGATACAATGTCACCTACAGGCAAGAAACCCTTTCAAAGAGCTGCTTTTACGATGCTTTTACATTTAAAATGGAATGTATTTGAATAAAGTAATTCAACATTTGATGCGTTTCTGAAATACATGAGGCTAAAATTGAACAAAAATACAATTTCCTTTTTCAGTCATGCACCAGTAGAGTGAAATATTCCCTACAGACAGTGAACACATAAAACCTCCAGAAAAACAAAAAGGAAATGTCTTTAAATTTTAAGAACACTGTAGACATCCTGTACCTTGGAGGAAGGGATGCTGTAAACCTGAAGCTTTTTTGGTGACCTTGGGTTTGTTTATTCATTTTGGAAGAAAAAATCTATACAGATAAATGTGCCATATTTAAGATCCAAAACTAGAAGGCCTTTTTCTTTTTCTTTCTTTTTTTTTTAATTGACTCAAGATTTGGTCCATTTAATTTAACTTCTATGGAAAACACAACACAACAAATTATTCCAAATCACTGACAGGAAGACAGAAATGTTTATCCGCACGACGTGGAATCTACTCGGTGTTGCGTGGAACGTATTACCTGCTGCTGTGAACCCTGTCAGATGCACCACGGTTGATGTTCTGAGTCAAGTTTAGGTATTTACAGAATTAACTGTAACTCTATGCCATTTTGAGATCATTTGTGAAACTATGAAGACGGTACAGAAGGCAGCTTGAGGTGTTGGAGAATGGAAGGCTTCTCTCCTCTCTTGAAGCACATCAGTAGAGTCGCACAGAAACTTTTTGTGTGGATAATTAGATTGCCATCTATTGGAGTGTTGCTGTAACAACAAGTAAAACCCCACAAAAAGGTTTCCGTCATGTTAAATTTCCTGCAGAAAATTCAAATATTGTGGGTTTATTTTTTTACGTTTTGCCTAAAATATCCCGGCATGGGTCAACCAGCTGTGGTTGTTTTTTGGCTGCCTTTTGTTCAGCAATTCCCAATTTTTCTTGTCATGTACCCAGACTTATCCGGTTTGTTTGGAATGAGTCGTTTCTGCTCTCTATAGACTGTTTGTATTTGTAAATTTGACTCATATGTTAATAGTTTTCATATTTGTTCTGGGATCAATGACAGCATCGTGAGTACAAATATAAGTGGAAGGTGATGTTTTTCTCTCTCTCTCTCTCTCTCTCTACATCTGTTTACAAAATGCTTTGAAGAACAACACAATTACCTCAAACCAAAGTGTATCTAAAATACATTTTAATCTTGCTGAAATTTTTGTTTTTCACAATATTGTTTACAATATGAATCCATCTCCGTTCTCCTCCTCATCCTCACTCGGGTTCTTCATTGCCGTCTCAAAACGAAGCCGTACAATCATGTTCATGTAAATTTTTCTACATCAAGGCACAAGACAACAGCCGTTGTGTGGGGAGAGGGGAGCAAAGTGGGGAGGATCTTTACCAGCGTAAAGGGGGGAATGTTAATATATGAATCTCAGCTGGGGGTCGGTGCTACAAATGTGCTCTAACGAGGTGAAACGTGGGGCGAAAAAAAGAAAGTGATAACCACTGCTGTTTTCATTTTATTTTCCAATAATATTCATGTATAAAAAAGAGCAACCCATCGGGATGTTTTTTTTTTTTACTTTAAGGAGTTCATTTGTTCATGTACATAAAGTAAAGTGCTTTTTTTTCCAATTTTTTTTTCAGTTATTTGCCAAAAGCCAAAAAAAAGAAAAAGATTATTAACAGGATGGATAACGGGGACAAAACATCCCTTGTTTTCCAGTAAGAATGTGAAAGAGAAGATAAAGGGCCAGTTTAGTATTTATCTGCGTAGTTTTGCTGTGTTGAATTTTTGTTCACAGGTTGTTGTTTTTTTTTTTTTTTCCTTTTTTTTTTTCAGGTGTCCGCCTCTGAAAGACAGAAAATGAGAGAAATTGAGGTACATCCTAAGGAAATAACGCCAAATTTTTATCGATAAAATACAATTTGTATAAAACTTTATTTACCGTTTCCCAAAAGGTTGATGGGGAGCCCTCACATCTGGGTGCTTCTCCTTCGCCTGCCGAAGGCCTTGGCGCCAACATTGGTGGGAACGAAGTTGCTGTTGCCTATTCCCCCCGACCGGCTGAGGAAGTCGGCCAGGCGGTGGGTCACGCACGTGGCCGTGTTGCAGGCGCGCTTCTGTGCTGTAACGCTGCTTCAGGACAGCAAAGGGAGATTAGCACGAAGACACCACGTGACGTTTACGTGAGCTAACACCACAACACAGTGACTGTACGACAAATTTGATAAAAGTGGACAAATAAGGTAACAGCTTATGTATTTTCTTACCTGTTGACTTACTGAGGACTTCCCAGACAGATTTCAAGGCGTCTTAAAAGTGCATTTACGCTCTAATTCGTTTAATTTCTGTCTTACGTGATTGATTTTTTTTTTCCACTGGCTAAGGCTTCCTTGTAGAAAATACATTCATTAGGCAACAGACATCTTGCCTCATGAGTAGATTATATTCTTACCTCTGAACTGATTGATAACTTATTCGATTTCAAGACGTCTTAAAGTGTATTTGCGCTCTAATTTCGTTCTTGCGTGTTCATACGAACCAATTTTTGTGTCTTTAACGAACGAACAGGAGCTAAGGTTTAATAATAATAAAGGACATTGGTGTCTTCAACAGTGGATTATTTTCTTACCTGTGGACGTACTGAAGCATTTTATAGTATATTTACACTCTAATTTATTTAATTTTGCTTGTGTTCATGCTAATCAAATTTTTTGTCTTTTAAAAACAACTAACATGAGCTAAGGCTTCCTGGTAGAAAACTACATTTGTTGAACAACATGGTGTCTCATAAGCGGATTATTTTCTTACCTTTCCAAGGCGTCTTAAAGTGACTTTACACTCTTAATTCATTTAAATTTTGTTCTCGCGTGTTCATACAACCCAATTTCTGTGTGTTTTTAAAAAACGAACAGGAGCTAAGGCTTCCTGGTAGAAAAATACGTTTATTGAACAACAAACATGGTGTCTTCATGAGTGGATTATTTATTAATGGTTACATTAAGTGATCTGTCTATCAGATGCCATCAAATAACACTACACAGAAATGGATATCTGATATTGTAAATTACAGCTGTGTAAATTATGTCTGATTGTCTGAGATAAAAGGAACAAATTATTCTCTGCCAAAAAAAGAAACAAGCAGGGAAAAAAGTGGGAAAGAGGTACATAAAAAAAGAGAAAAAAATCAGGTTCTTCTCATGTCAAACAAGCCAGTAGGAGTTAGCATGCACTTGCCAGGATGAAAAATACGGAGAGCAAACCGGGATGAAGGGATAGGTAAGAAGAAAGGATAAATAAAAGGAGAGAGAGGAGAAGGGAGAGGAGAAAGAAGGGCTTAGATGCTGTCAAACGTCTCGCCGTAGCTTGCATAGCTGTCCCTCTCAGGAGCGCCGCGCTTCTTGCCGGGCGTTCCCGCTCCCACGTTCGTGCGGGGGAATGTCTGCAACTTGTGCAGCTCCTGAGACAGTTTGCCCAGCACGCAAGTGCTGAGGTTGGAACAGCGCTTGGTTAGGGGCCTGCCCATGCTGTTGGGGAGGGGACACACAGAAAAAGACATGCAGAGAAAAAAAGGACTCATAGGTAAGGGAAAACATGCAAGAAAAATCATCATCGTTTTGGTCTTTTCTCTAGCCTCCACTCGCACTCTGCTCTGACCTCACATGCATTTCTGTCTCATGCCGTCACAGCTTAAACAAAAGTGGAACAGGAACGTCTCAAACCTCATACAGCATCATGCCACCAGCTTTTCTATTTTGAAACATTCAAAGAACTCATCATCCATCCCGTCATGCGCCAACCCCCTCTCCCAGAAATCCTGCATCTTTTACACCAACAAAAACAACCCATCCACTTCCCACAGTCATGCAGCTTCCCGTAACTGTAACTGGCATCATGCACACTTGTTTTTTTTTTTTTTTGTTTTTTTTTTGGGGGGGCCGGGGGGGGGGGTTGATAAGTAAATATATGCTTTTCACATGTTCACATGCCCAGCAGGCAGTTTTTCACCCCTTCACACAAAGTCAATACCAGGTTTGTTTCATGCGGGATAAAGGGTCATGACAGAGAATACAGATTGTTTTTTTTTTATTTCCCCATTTTAGCATTTTGTTGTGGAAAGAAAATATGTTTTTTTTTTTTTTCCCTATGGTTTTGCCAAAAGTACATACCTCTCTAGAGCTGACTTATGATGATGCATCAGCAGTGGTGTTAGAATGAAACCAGAGAGTGAAACGTGGGAACAATCTAAAAACAATCTGTCCGGTTTACATTTTCGCTGAAAGCAGCCAGGTTCAGGACCTGTCCACGTTGTCGCCTGAACAAAATGTAGTCTAATAATTCTAGAACATGTTCTAGAAAGTTGTAGAACAAATCTGTTCTTAAACCCACCACACTATTTGTGTAAGTCTCCAGAATAAGGCATGGTAATACATAAATGAAATTAACTTGATGATCGAGGCTACTCTACATTATTGCATTAGAAATCGAGTCGTCTGTGAGTTGCTTCTGCTGTGAGGAAATATTAAAGCTTTATTTGAGGAAATAAGAATGGGATGTACCTGTTTCCCTCGGTCGCCTGCTGCTCCATCTCTTCTGCCGTCATCTGCACAAACTCCTTGACGATGGCGTTCAGTAACCTTCGCGCCTCGTAGTCCGTGAGCGTGACTCGTTCTGACATGGACTCTAAACCTGGTCTGTGATGGGACGGTTCAGGGGACAAGGGGACAAACAGTCAGTGGGGCAGGAGTTATCGCCCTTAGGGAGCTGCTGGACATTTGTCACACATTTCATGGGGCATTTAAGTAACTCAAAAGCTGGTTTTGAAGATTTTTAAGAGGTCTAAGAGCTCACACGGCCCCACAAACGCCCCGAGATGCCAGGATGCGTGTGTGTTTGTTGGGGTGGGATCTTGGGGTACTGGTAAAGACGATGGATGGGAAGGGGAGGCGGAGACATCAGCACCTTGGAGAGTAATGACGCCTGAGTTTGAGGGCCAGTGGCCAACACTAGGGAGGGGTTGGGGATCGGCTGGTGGGGGGGACAGTCTGCGGAAAGTGCCCCATTTGAGAAAGGGGGGCTGATTTCCAACAAGCTTTAGATTTATTGCAAAATCAATAGCTTCATAGGAACACTCGGGAGAGAGGCTGGAATGGAGCTCCATATGGATATATAGGTCTCATTTATCTCCCTCTGGAGTGAATTACAACTTCCTCTTTTTGTGTTTTATTAATAGTATGTAAACAGCGGAATAGATGTGCAATCACGTTTTGTGCAACAAATTCAATGTTTTTCAGGTTTTCTTTCCTAACTTTATGACTTTTAAATTCTAAACCCAGCATTAAATTTTATCTTTTTTTATTATTTGCATCATAATGTTTAGCTACAATTAAGACATCCAAGGTTGGGATTATATCAACCACATTCTATTCTATTCCATTTTATCAAGTTGCATGAATTAGTAAAACAACCTTTTAAATGTAAAATATTTAAAATGTTAGAATGTATTCTTACACTGCAAAAACACAAAATCTTACCGAGTACCTTTTTGTTTAGTTTCTAGTGGAAATATCTTGATACACTTCAAATAAGAGAACTAGCTTACAAGAAACTTTTCAGCAAAGAATAGGAGATTGTTTTAGGTTAACAATTCCTTAGTATTGACTAAAAGTACTAGTTCCACTGGCAGATTATTTCATTTAACAACATTTTTCCATGTTACAAGTAAAAAAAAAAATCTGTCAATGTTACTTTTTAAAATCAATATTAGGTAATTATTGACTTAAAACAAGCTTCTATATCTTGCTGAAAAATTACTTATAATTTAGTTTGTCTTATTTCCAAGTGTACCAAGATATTTGCATTAGAGAATGGAATATAAATACTGTATAAGATTTTGTGTTTTTGCTGTATAGCTGAATTTACAGTATGCTATACATTTGATAATAAAACATAACACTTGTATATGTACATTTACGTATATCAACTTTTACTGCTTCTATTAAAGTTGCTGCAGATAATTCCTCAAAAAGAAAGACATAATGACTAGAAAAACCTTGTAAGACTACAGTTTTTTTAAAAGAGAAAAACTGAAAACCAGGAAACCAATTGTTTGTCATATCATCGTTGCTTTTAAATCCAGAAATCACTACAAGTGCTTGACAGCCGCCTGAACGAAAAGTAAATTGCAAGAGCCGTGTCTCACCTGGCAGGGGCGGCTTGTGAGCAGTACATCTGGCAGATGACCAGGGCGTAGGCAACGAGGAAAGCTGAGATCTTCAACATAACCATGGTCCCCTGCAACAGGAAGGAAGACACCCCCACCCCAACCCTCTTGTCAGCATCTTGCGCACTGATGTATCTACAAGGCAACATGTGTAACAAATGGACTTGCTGCTCGCCGAGCCCCTTCTTCCTCCTCCCCCCACACCCTTGAGTTCCTATCAAACTTGGCTTAGTTCTTCCCACGTCTCCTCATCCTCACACACACGGCAGCCACCCCCCCCGTTCTACTCTTGTTCATCGAAACGCACTGTTCCGAAATATCCAGCAGCGAGCACAGGACATGTAGTTCTCTCTTGTCATTCGCAGTGGGGACTGGAGTGCGACATGCCTGCAGGTAGCTGGGTGTGCATAAATGTGTGTGTACGTGTGTGTGTTTGAGAAGGGGGGGAAAGGTAGGCAAGGGTCCCAGACTCTGCAATATAGGTAGCAGTTGCTGGAAGAGGAGGGGTGAAAGAGAGGTGGTGGTGGTGTTGGGGGGGGTTACTCCAAGCTTGCCAACTCCCTAAGGGACCAGTGCATTAGTGTAATGAGCTTCCAGCACTCTCTAACACACACACACATTTTGTCTGCAACACACACGCACACTTTGAGCTGGTTGCTTCTGCTCGTTTTTCTCATGAATTGCACCGCCTCAGTAATTTTTTATTTTTTTTTGCTTTTTCTGAAAATCTCCTTCCTCATCGTTTCTACCTTTCCTCCCTCTTTTTCCAACTTGGCTGAGTCTTTAATCCCCAAGAGGAAAACGGGAGCTTCCCAACATCTTCTGCTTCTGGTAACCAGCCTCATTTCATTCACATCAACCCAGTCAAACAGCTGCCACCCACAGCCAAAGAGTCAAAATACAACCCCAACCCACTGATCAAGACAATAAAGGAAGTCAACACTCACCTTCAATGATAATCACCAAGCAGTAAAAATAAATATATATAAATATCTCTCTGAATCTCTGTTCAAAACAACAAGAAGTTGACTTTCTCTCAACTTGCAGAACAACTCTTGACTCTGTTGCATGAAGTGCCAACCACCAGCCTATATATCCCACCACTCGGATTTGTGCATCGACTGTGTAGGTGTTTAATTATCTGCTGGCAGCCAATCGCGTGGGCCGTGATGTTACGGCGAGCCAATGGGAAGCCTTCTCTAGACCCCCCGTTCGGACTTGGCTCGCCGCTGAGACATGGCTTTTGTGCTGACGTCATTCCTCAGTCACTAAGTGCTCCATTCACAAAATTCACCAGTCATATGGACCATTTGCCATCACTAGTTTGCATTGATGTCATTAATCAAATAAGAGGCAGAGTGAACTGATGGACGTGCAGTAGCACCGCCGGCGATAAATAGTTGAAAAAAAGTTTCCAAAAATGGTTCGTTTCATGCTGCATCTCAAACTAGGAGATCAATAAAGGGCACCCCCACCCCTGTAAGTCACCGCTTCCCCTCCTGAATAAGCACTTGCAGGCGGGGCCATCTGCTGGGGATGGACGTATACTACACAGTGACGCACTTCTGGACTCCTGCACTTCATTCATAATGCTGCCTGGATGCCTCCAACTTCATTGTGCTTAATCACAATCCAGACTTCCTGCAGTGAGTTTGAGTAGTTAGCCAAGAACTTTAGAGTCTCTAGCATAAATAACTGATTACCTTCTGACAATTTTTGCTCTCTCTCTCTCAGCAGGTCTTGCAAACACTTTATTTATAAAGCCACAAGTAAAGTGTGGCAATCTCCTGTCTCTCCGGAGTAAAAACCTCGAACCACATTAAGGTAATAAAGTCTTACCACGGCCAGTCCAGTAATGACCGAAGCTGCTCAGGCCTCCTCCCACACAAGTGAGCAAACAACCAATCGATGACAGCCTGCGACAAGGGCCGTTTCTCAACGGCAATTACACAAGTGTTTGCCCTGCACAATTGTCTCAATGCCCTGCCTTTTCATTAGAGGGGCAGGGCGGCGTGTGCATGTGTGTGTTTCTTTCTAAACTGCCTCACTTGAGCACGCGTGTATGGAAAATGTCTTTCTATGTGTACTTAATGCCAGACAAATTGGATAGGTGTGTGTGTGTAGGCCTATATGTCAGAGTAAACTAAAGGGGAGGGGTTGCCTCTCCATGTCTGCGTCACAGAGGAACCCCATTATACAGGATGAGCCTTTTAGTGCTATTGAGCCACATGGTTCAGCCTTGTCAGCTGCTAAATCACTGCTGAATAGGCAGCTGCCGGGCCTCAAGCCACATCTTTTGGACTCTGGAACTTCTAGTAGGCACTTTCTCACAAATAAGAACAAAGACATTTCCTTGGGATTGTGTATTTGTTTAGGTTTCTGCAGATAAAAGGTTTGTGCATTCTTTCGGTGAAGGGCTTTGGATCGTGGAACTCTTTCTTCACATTGTTAGCGAAGGTAGCCACCACTTTGCTACAGGCTCTTGCAAATGCATTCTTCCCTCTTAAGCATTTGAACATTAAGTCATTAATAGCACAAACGTGTGTTCACAGTTGCTGGCCTTCACAATAAACGGCGTGGATGCTCCCAACAATGAACTGTGGATGGTCCTGGAGTACACTGAGCCTCCTTGATGTTTGGGCGGATGCATCAAACTATTCAGCAAATAGAAAAGACAAGAACTCAAAAACAATGCCGCATTAAAGTAGAAGAACTTCATCAGTCAGTTTGTTTCCCTTCCAGGTCTGTGCTGTGCTGCCCCTGTCAATTCTATTCAATGGGAGCAATGTTAGTCATCGCTGTGTCTACAAAGCATAACTCACTTGCAAAAAGAAAACCGCACCAAATGAAATGGTCTACTTTCTAGAGACCAAACAAGCCCACCAAAGGACTTTCCAGGTGTGGACACACCTTTAAACAGGATGCTCAACAGATGTGCTAGGATTAGCTCAATCTAAGCTAGTCCTAATGTTTTATCTTACAGTGTGATGTTTGTGTGCATGAGTCCAAAGTATCTTCAAAAGATGAAAAAAAATCATCGTCCTTCCTCCTCAATAGCTACATTTTCAATACAAACGTGCCCAAAACTTTCTCAGTATTCCGCGAATCTCGAAAAAACAATTCCGCATCTGTGGTGTTTCCATTAAATCACAGCTGAATAAGTTTGTTTACCGCAATAAGTCAAACAAAAAATGCCACGCTATGATCCTCCAACTACTTCCTGCCGTCTTCTTCTTCGGGGTTTTCACTCGTGGAAATGCCCGGTTGTTGATCATCTGACTCGTGTGATGAGAAAAAAGGTTTTTCATTGCAGTTTTCTAAAATAAACCAACTTCGACACGACCAAAAAAACCACCTCGGCGCCAAAATGTTTCATAGAAATACTAGAGTTCGTGGTCAGTGGAAACGCAGCAATTGTAGTAACGCATGTTTCTCCTAAACATCTTATGAGTTTCCTCAACTTCAAAATGCTCAGTAACAAATAAGTGATACTTGTTCAGCTTCTAATTAGCTTTACTAATTGGTCAAACATTTACAGGCTAATTACAACAACATCTCACTAAATGATGATAGTGATGACACTAATGGCATTCAATGTCCAACACCTCAGATATAGACATAGCTGAAACATCGTAACGTTATTGTACAAAAACATTTCTAATGGCAAAAAACAAATAATTTCAGACAAAACTTGTTAGGCTCAGCTTGTCTAGGTGTTGCGACCACAGGGCAGTTATTCAACTTAATTTATTTAAGTATTAATAGAGGATGGCATAAGGTTACTTGGGTACAAAACATTAATGAGCTGTGACCGCTGTCCAGTGGGAAGGTCAGGAGAGAGGGCAACCTTGTCGGGAACTGGAGCAAATTAATCACTTATGGCTATGTACTTTACAATGTGTGGTCAAATAACACATTCCAACAGCATTACATATTCAACGTCTTCAGTTCTTCCATCTACTGTAGTCAACATCAGGAGGAATAGACATGTACAAAGAGAAAACAATACATTTCACTGAATGTGAGTTTGTCTTGTAGGAAAAACAGCATTACCTCTCCAGATCCCTCTTCATAGCTTTTTCCTGACTGTATATATTCTATGTCATATGGGAGCGCTCACTATTTGTGCATCTTCGACAAACATTGTACACCCGCATGTGGACGAGTGTGTCTTCAGTGCCTGCTTCCATGCATGTGTGTGTGTGTGTGTGCGCGCGCTTGCTCCTTTAGCGTGGGTGTTCCTTTTTTTGGTTCATCGGCATCACACTTCACCCTTGGGAGATTCAATGCGCAAGCCACCCCGACTCCAGCAAAGTTTCGCCTCGGTTCCTGAAAAACTTCCGAGCGCCGAGTCGATAGAGTAACCTTTAGAGCGGGGCCTCCCCCAGCCGAGATCAACACACCCAGCCTAGTGTAAGTCATTACTGTGGACATAACTTCCCCTGTGGTGTAATTGGATGCAGACAAATGTGCAGTATGTAGCGTTCATGGCTCTCCTATGTTGAGCCAATCAAGGATCTCATGTGGAAATGTAACAGTTCTGGAAGTCTAGCAAAAATGATAGCAACACCCAAGAGTGACGCTATCGATATAACAGGAGGGATGAAACGGAAACCTAACGGTTAAAGGGACGATATACTGTAAAAGTGAAAGTGTGTTTGTGCAAAGTACACACAGATAGGTACAGTATTTACAGGGAAATCAAATGCCACAAAATATGTCTAAGGGTCAGGTTGGTAGGGTTGTATAATGGGTTTTTCATTATAGTTTTATATTGTTGTGATTCTAATTCAGTTTGTTTTTAGAGTGTGTTTACTAATTTTTATTAGTTGCTGTTAGCTAAATATTATTTAGTTTTACTTTAGTTTTTAACTATAGTAGTACTTTTAGTTTTTTCATACTATGGTCAATTTTTAGGTGCAGAATTCAAAGAGGTTCAAGTATTGTGTTGTGATTGTGTATACATGGATCAGGTAATAATCAATAAAATATACAATTAAAAAAATGTTTTCAATTATTGTTGAACAACCAACTGACTGGTGTTTTCTCCCAACTTTGTCGCTATTTTATGGACTAGGTTAAGTGGCGTAATTTGCTGACAACTGATGTAAACTGCTTGTGTGTGGGCGGGGGAAGTTTTATAAACGCACAATATAGTTCCAGTTTCATATAGTTTTTCCCCATTAATTACTCTGTTCTTTTTTTTTCAGTTAAACATATTTTCTCAATTTCAGTTTTTGTAATTTCATTAGTTTTAGTTTATTATAATATCATTGAATCATAGATTTAAAAGAAATTTAGTGTTCAAATATTTTTTGAACACTAAAATGAAGAAAACATGATTGAACATTACTGTTCAATCATGGAAAAAAGATTATTTTCAGTACTAAATACAGAAGGACAAAATGAAGCACGCCGC